AATTGCCAGAAAAGGTGGGTTCAAATTTTTTTGGGCATACATACAGGCATACAGCCCTTAACTAGATCCAGACCATGTCTAGACTTAGAGCAGTGGTAGCATATACAATAGCAAATGTTTCAAATCTATCTGCTGATGTTGTTCTCATCCATTTCTTAATGCTTAATGTTCTGTGAATTATGTTCTACTTTAAGAGCAGATTTAGCACTAATTGATGGTACCATAAAGTCTCCCTTGCCTTGGTCACATGTGGTATTCTCTTGTTTGAAGTTATTGGGTATCTCCTCTCTTCACATCTGGTATCTCTTGTTTGAAGTTATTGGGAGAGAGTGTCTGACCGAATATTATCTCCTCTTTAACTAAATCAATATTCATTCCATTTACATGATTTAGAGGCTTGTCACATGTGATGTTCCTCCTCAGTCTTGTCTTTGAAATATTGGCCATCATCTTTTATGCCTTGTTTGATGTTTTGTGGATGAAGACATTGTTCAAGATGTGGTGTAGCACTATTGGATGTTGTCGTTGACTCTTCTTTGACCATATCTAGTTTAATAGTATAAACAGTAGATGGAATTAAATAGACTGCCTTAATGATTTTGTCAGCTTTGTATAAAAACCCTCCTACGTTGCAACCACCTTACCACCTACCCACGTACGTGGGACATGATCCTTTATTTATGGATCTGTCAACTGTCTATAGCCATAAATTAAAGCCAGATTTGCATCTTCTCACATCTGGGGACCAAAACGCAGCTAAAAAGCAATGTCTCGAGTGAAAGGTATTTCTGTGAAGGTTTAAATGGAACAAGTTTGAAGAAAAACAGTGTACTGTGAGACTCACAATCATTGATTTTCCAAAGAAAGGGTAGGTTTGAAGGGATCACCTCATTATACCGACGCGCATTATACCGACACGCATTGTACCGAAGCGCATTGTACTAAAAATAATATATGATGTGTGTTGACCCCGAACTGTCAATGTTATAGGTAAGGAATATAATTGATATCTTAAGTGAGCGGGTGCCTGGGACTTTGGACTCTGGGACTTACCCCTCTTTACAATGTGCATAAAGCAGTGATGTCACAAGTAAATCTCAACTTGTATTTGTGACTTTTTAGAAAGAAAGATGGCAATATCTTCATGCATGGGTTAAGGATGGGTGTATCTTGGTTTGTCATCTGAGAAATTTCAGTCATTACTTGTTTACATCATCTTTGCACGCTCCGGAATTCACAGTTACCAACAGGGGGCGAGTGAATGAATATGTGTATATATTCAAACATAGTTTTTATGGAATAAAATAATGATCATACAATGACACTTAATAATTAGTGTGTTAATTGAAAGGGACAAACTACAAAGAAAATAGAAAATGTGAGTCATGTGTATGGATAAATATATGGTAATGGGACTTTGTGGGATATTTCATTTCAATAGACGAGATGAAAGTATCATATTGATTTTCATCATTTAAAAATGTCATAAAAGTGATATCATATTTAAATCAACACATATCCAGACTATCAATGCTCATCAGAGACCTTCTCTGAAAACTCCCTGTAGTGACACCCCGCAACAACATACCAACGACTTTACATAGCTAGGATTAATAAACGTTCAATTGAAAGGATAAACGTACAAACCAACGAATGTTCAAACTTAACAACGTACAAAATGTCGAACGAAGGAAGAACGTACATACTGTATGTATGAAAGTACTGACATAGGCTACGGACGAAAGGAATAACTAGGAGGTATATTAAGGTACTCACGTAGTTACGTCAAAACAACCTTACGAATGAACGTACATACGTACGAACAAACATACTGAATGAATGGAAAACCATACTGAGGAAAATTGAACAAACGTACGAATGTACTATCGACGTACAAACATATTTCCAGTGACTAAACAACTTTCGGTCTAATTCTTGTTCGTTGGAATGCTGTTCGGTATAATGCGCTTTGGTACAATGTGCGTTGGTATAATGGGTTTCGGTACAATGCGCGTTGGTATAGTGTGTGTCGGTATAATGGGTTTTGGTACAATGCGCGGACCCCAGTTTGAAATTCAAATTAACGGTTTTGCGGGGCGTTTTGGTTTCGATACCCTCCAGTGAGTTAGTACCGCATGATTCAGTGTTACTCGAGTCTCTAGCCAATTCTAGAAGTGATTCTATCTGGAACACCGTGAACTATTGTAAATAAATTATGTAATATTCTAAAAATCGTTCTGTTAATATTTCATGAATTGAAATTGTAACAGCTTGTCTTGTTGATGAGATATTGAACGTTCTCATTATAAGACGTCGTCTCGTTCTCCATTTTGAAAGCATTTATCGCATCCTACGACCCCTTTAGATTGTGGTCGTACGCGCCAATAGAGAAAATACTACGCATTGCACACCTAAATGACCTACCTCGATACATTCCTTAGTATTTTAGAATTCTTTTTATGTAGTTGAATTGCCAATTGTATGGGTTTATCGGCAGAACGAAGAGATTTTAGTTTTTACATCGGAAATATATCAGCAATTTTCAAAATGTCGGAAGGGGAATTCCCTAGGGATTTCCCTTTATGACTGGTGCATGCCGGGAACTGAATGGAGGAATTTGACGGTTGAAATAAGTTCAATATTACACGCAAATATTGCTATCAAAAACTAAAATTTCTTTGTTCTGCCGATAAACCCACACAATTGTGGATTCAACTACACGGAAAGAATGCTAAAATACCAAGGAATCTATTGAAATAGGTATCTTAAGTGTAAGAAGCGTAGAAAATTCTCCCATGTTGTAATCGTACAGGCAAAACAATAAGAAGTTCGCAAGACTAGAATGTAGAGATAGTCTTGGAACGACATAAGAAAGCATGTCTTTTTTCCGCTATAGAAATTTAGTCAAGATGGCCGCTTGTTGTAAAATATTTCTTTCAGTTTTATTTTGATTCTTTTATGAATAAATATCCTGCGAAGTAGACGAATGTATGAACTAGGACTGCGTGTAAAGATCAATGAAGGTGAGTAATATTATGTTTACATTAATAAAAATAAGACGGCTGGGCAATTTAATGGCAAATTCAAAACAACAAAGAGTGTCTTATTCATATTCTAAGGCCACACTCACTGGTCATAATATGGTAAATTCCACGGACATCTAATACGTTCTTCGAACTGCCCTGGAATTATATCAATAACAGGACTGGCATCCAGATCCAAGTATTTTTCAAGACCGCCGACTCTCGTTGGGCTATTTATCCCTGTTGACTCAGTTGTTCATATAAATTTACGTACCTTAGATGCTTTGTAATTGACATAGATAGAAAATATTGTTTCCTAAATTGTTCTGAAAAGCGATAATTATTACTAAATGTACTTTGAACAGGTCGACTGACCAAAAAGTCGGACTTCTGGCACAAGGTCACGTGACCAAATAGAATTTGTATAGATAAAATTGATGACGTCACCGCCATCGGTATAGGTCAGGTCAAAAGTCATCCATCTTGCCATTTGCCCCGCGTATTCTTACCAGTCGACAAAAAACGATGAAATCACGTTAAAAATAAAATATACACTTTAAAATTGAGGCTGATTGAATATGACAAGACTCCATTGAATACAGCTGTGCAATTTACAGTCACCGATATGAGCTAATTTCGGAGAGATTCGGGAATTAAAAAAGGTAAGCCATTCCGGTTTCCCAACTTCAAGTGTTTGAAATCCCAGAATTTCCTTTCGCCAGAAACATTCTCTCTGACTGTGGTAAATTCAGTGGTTTTTAGCTTTTCAAAAATTGCAAAAAAATTCCAACGCACCCTGGCCGTAAGCTGTATCAACATAAAAACGCTAACACTTCGATAAATACATTTTCTTTATTTGCTTGCTTACCTTCTGAAAGCTGCAATATTAGAGACTTTCGTGTAATATTGGAGAAAATCGTTCTTTCTCAGTCAACATTTCGGAAATTTACATCTAGCCTCGTTTTCGTTTCAAGGGATTTCCTCCTTGTCAAAGGTGTCACTACGGTAATTTCTTGAAAAAATTAAAAAAACAAAATTCAAGTTCTGGGGTAAAGATCTATCATCTATGACTTTATGACTTATTTAAGCGAAGGCATTTTGCCTGTTGCCATTCAACACTGGGTTGGTGCGCCTTGAGGGGGGGGAGGGGGAGGGGGGGGGGGGTGTTTGATTTCAAGGGGTAGGGGTTACCTTACTGGCCTTTCATGGATATTGGTGTTGTGGGATATGGTAATGTTAAAGCCTGATATAAAATATGACCGTAACAATGCTTTACTATATTGCAACTTGCAAGGCCTGACATGACCATGAATGTTAAAGCCTGATATGACCGTGACAATGGTCGCAAGGCCTTCATGACCGTGGTAATGTTAAAGCCTGATATGACCGTGACAATGGTTGCAAGGCCTGCCATGACCATGGTAATGTTGAAGCCTGATATGACCGTTACAATGGTTGCTAGGCCTGTCATGATTGTAATGTTAAAGCACAATATGCCCTTGACAATGGTTATATTAATTGACATTTAGTAGCATGAGAATACTGTTATGAAAAATTTGATCATTTATCTACCTTAAATATGTAAATCTAGACTACTACAACATGTACTACAACTTTAACTCATAATTCATTTCCACAAACTATTATTCTAATCTCATTCAAGAATGTGAACATTGTCATGGTCATATCAGGGTTTAACATTGCCATGGTCATGACAGGCCTTACAACCATTGCCACAGTCATATAAGGCTTTAATTACCACAGTCGTGACAGGCCTTGCAATATAATATAGCATTGTCACAGTTATATCAGGTTGAGACTAACATAAAATGATAACACTACCACGGTCATGGCAAGATCCTTGCAAAGCTAACATGGTTGGTGACAGCTGAGACAAACAACACGGTTGTGCATAAGTCTTGCAAAGTTGTGTGAAAATTAAATTGAATATTATATCAATGATTATAAGTGGGGACTATTTTCTCCAAATTTTGGTGATTTCTTCATCTGCCCCCCGCAGTCCCAGTGTCTTTTTCGAGACATTGCATGGGAGTTTGCTTCCTACCCAGAAGTGCTTTTTACTGTAGCGATACCATGAACTAGGGATTTTCCACGCAAAAAGTCTGAAATCTTGTATGGCAGGCAGAAAAAACGACATTCTCCAAGAATATAGGGTTCATAAGGTAATCAAACTAAGGAAAACGTATTTAAAGAGGATTCGAGGTGTTTTATATATCTGCTCTTGTATTAGCCCTTTGCAGATTATTGATGTGCACTAAAAGTCAATAATCTATTCTTTTCAGAACTTGATTTTAGATCTAAAAAAAAAATACAAAATTGTTAGGCCTAAATCACAGCCACAGGTACCTGTATCAACACCTGACAGTGATAACACCTGACAGTGACATCTATTTGTGACAGAACCCTGGGAATATATCTCTTATAAGAGATAAAGGGTTATTTCCGGGGTTTGGTCACCAATAGATGTCACTGTCAGGTGCAGGTGTTGATACAGGTTCCTGTGATCACAGCCAGTACGTTAATTTTATACAGCCCTGTCAACCCTCACGCATTAGGCGTGATAGTCACACATTTGCGTGAAAAAATCAAGCATAAAAGCGTGTATCATCAAATATCATCAGCGACTATTTACACTGGCGGACCTGGGGGAGGCCAAATTGGGGCCAAAAAAGGCCTTAAGGCTCCAAAAAGTGGGCATTTTTGGTCATAAATGGGCCTTCTAAGGCCTTATTTTTTAATTTTAGGCCAAATTTTGAAGAAAATGGGCCTCAAAATTTCAAAATTTTTTATCAGACCAGCAGAAGTTTGCCCCCCCTGTTGGTTCCCAGATCCTCCCCTCATAAAAATCAGCAGTAATGTATGCAATGAATGAAATGAGGCACGATTGCTCTGAATGAACTGCTTGGTGATTTCAACGAAGTGGAAATATTTTTTCAATTCATTTTTTCTTCCTGAGCATACTGCCTTCAATGTCATGTTTGGCTAGTTTAACCTAGGGCCTCGGAGGTGGGGGGGAGGGGCATATTTCATGTCAGGATAAAAATTTGGGGCCCATAAAACCCAAAATTTTTTGATAAAAGGCCCATAGAGGAAACTTGGAATTTTGACTCTCTGGTGCATCAAGCATTATACATGTACATGATATCTGACCCAAACGAGCCACCTGGTGGTGAAACTGGTAACTATTTACTGGCATCTGAGTTATTAAACAGGTACAATTAAATGCAAGTACAAGTAACATAGCATTTTGTCAACTGGAAATAAAGCTAGGGGAAGTAACGAATATTCAAATGAATTTACTCCATAGGCCATTTTGAATGGTAAAAAATATTTTATCAAATATTTTTTAATCCCAAATTTTAACATATGTGGGTTTGAATATTTCATTTTAAATTTCCAAAAAGTTTCAGATTAGGATAATAGTCTACCCAGTGCCTCTTCCTTTCGGATAGGCTTGCTCCATGGAGTTGACAATTTTCGGTTGAAATCATTCTAAAAGCCTATTTTACAAGAGCCCTACATCTGTTTTCATTGTCTGAAACATTTTGAATATTTTTTGAGGGCATCAATTCATACTTAAGACTCTGGATATATTTTTCTACTTCAGGTTCAACCTACTGTGTATTACTGGCCAGAGTTTATAACAGAACAAGAACATGATTATCTCCTTCAGCAAGTATATGCAGCTCCTAAACCAAAGTGGACACAGCTCTCAAATAGACGGCTGCAGAATTGGGGTATGTATCAAATGGAAATCTGTAATCTTCAAAAATTGATGCTGTTGCTATATCCACTTTAAATTTTCAAAATAGGGTTGCATCTAAAGTTTGATTTACAAACTTGAGAAAATTTACACACTTGAGGAAAAAAAGCCTGACAAGAGAAATTTGCATATTGATTATTTCAACTTTGAAAATTAATTTTCTTTGAAAATGTGACTTCTAGGTGGAGTAGATTCTCGATAGACCCCATGTTACAAAATCACAAAAAGTGAAATATCTTCTTATATTGGACAGATAATTATTTTCTTCTACTTGACATATTTTAATTTTTTTATAATTATCAGATACATCAGGGTAATATGGATATTGAACGACTATAACTGATGGATATTCAAGTTTAAGGGAACTTTCTAATACCCTGCCATGTGATATATATGAATTAGCCACCAAGTGGTGAAAATGGTAACAACCTACTCGCATCTGGGTAATTAGAGAATGGTCATGTTTGAAGGATAAAGTTCGAGCTCAATTAATTGAAGACGATTTTAAGCACAGTCCTGTATGAGATTTGAATCCTGGCTAGCTATAGTATACAAGATTCATGTGCATTAAATCACCCTAAATTCATTGAGTCCATTGTTTGTATTCTCACAATTCCTTATTTTACCCAGGCCCATAGCCAGGATTTGCCATGGGGGGTTCAGTTTTCAAAGATTTCCTGGGGGGTTCACATTTGACAATTTTGGCCCAAATGTGGCTAAAATCACTTGAGAAGTGCTCAAAATGGTGAAAAACTGCATGATTTTGAAAGAATTTTTGGCCAGGGGGGTTCGCCCAAACCCGAACAGACCCCTGGCTACGGGCCTGTTACCTCTCTCTGTTTTAAGTCTCAATATATCATTATTTTGACAGGATGCAGACAGTATTCTTGTATATACAGCTCATCTTGTTAAACCTTTAAACTGTACATTATATAACGATCTTAATATATACTTTAAGGTGGACTGCCACATGAGAAAGGCATGATAGCTGAACCATTACCTCAGGTAAGACATTCTACTATACCTTGCATTTGGTGTTCATGAGCAACCCATATGACTTAGGGCTTGTAGAAAAAACCGGGTACCGGGTACCAGATTGTAAATCCTCCATGCTGGGTTCAAAATTGGTACCCGGTACCCGGTCAAAAAAAAACGGGTACCCAAAAAAATGAAAAATACGAATATATAACATATATCATTAGAAAACGTGTAAGATTTGTTTTGAATTAACAAAAATGTATGTAACTTCCTTCAAAATTGAGCTAGAAGCTTCAAATAAAAAGCATTTTAAGGCTCTTTTCTTCCTCTATCACCATGATTATATTTTTTCATTGGTTATGCACCCCATCCTGGCTACACCTGTGACATTGTTGTCACATATTCGTATTTTTTGTTTTTTGGGTACCCGTTTTTTTCGACCGGGTGCCAAGTTTGAACCCAGCATGGAGGATTTACTACCCGGTACCCCAGTTTTTTCTACAAACCCATATGACTTATTAGTAATGATTATGTTATTTGTTTTCATTTGTCTGTTCCTCAGATGACTGCTAGATGTTGATAAGGAACTTTCAAAAATATAAAAAGCAATACAATTATGCATTTCTAGGGGTTAGGTATAGTAAAGTGTAAGATCATTTTATTAATCTATCACCACCTTTAAGTGATGACAATATAGGCAAGATATAAGGCAAGATATGGTGAAAAAGGAGTCAATGTCACTATCAAATAGTGCTATGTCAGATGTTGAACGAAGTCTTTATTCTCAGAATATCAAACAAGAGATGATAGATGATGATCAATATTTCCAAAACAATTACTCAGATGCGAATAGTTAGTTACCAGTTTGCCACCAGGTGGCTGATTCGGGGGAAATAACATGACAGGGCAAGCGCGTAGCTACGTTGAGGCAAATGAGGCAGCTGCCTCATCGCTTTTTTCAGCCTTTGAAAAATAATGTTCGGATATAAAACCATTAAAATGAGCATCTTTTTCTTGAAAACATACCATTAAAATAACAGCTTGTGTTCTGGTGATTTTATCTAAATATAATTTCATGTACTCTTTAGCCTACATAGAACTTAAAGTAGCCTACTCTCAAGACACTTAATTGCTTGCGATTTTATATATAACGTTCGCATATCGCATCAAATTGTTAGCCTTCGTTTTTTGAACCAAATTATAACGGCGCCATTTTCAGATTTTTGATTGATATTATGATATAAGACTCACTCTGGCAAGTAGATCAGGTATACCTTATTATTAAGGGTATTTCTTTTTTATTATCGCCCAGATATAACGACCTAGGAAGGTCTATCAACACTAACCTACTCAAGGAAATATTATTATTCGAAATTCAATTTTACGCTGGAAACTTAAAAGTCATTTTTATAACTTCAAGCGTAAAGTGTAAAACTTAAAAGTAATCAATGTGCACTGCGCTGGAACGGCGATCTTTGAAATTCATTTTTTATTATTTTATTATTTTTCTATTGAAAGTATAATATTTTATATCTCAAACGTACTCAGACAACCAATTTTACTTTGGTCAAACAATACTCCAAATTACAATTATAGCATTTAAATCACTGATCTTTTTGAATAACGAAAATAGACACAATATAATATTATATAGTCTGATTCCATCGTGTACCGACAGGATATATTAAGTATATTGTATGGCCAGTATATTTGATAAAAACGCTGCTAAGTATTACACGATGATAATGTTTGTTTGCGATATGAAATCTATGAAAGATTCAGTTTAAACCATAGATTTTTCCTTGGGAGGAAAAGCAAGTATATTCTTGTCTGATACAACCGATGAATATGAAAAAACTGACTTTTATCTGTATTTAATTGATTGCTATATTTTATGCCACCAGAGTGATAGCGTGTTACTTACATTACCTATACAGTGCGTCCCAAAAAAACGCAACAAAGAAAAAACATTGCAAAATCACAAAACCAGTGATGATTACATCAATTTCATTTAGTAAACATATGGAAAAAGTGGCATAAACAGTCGTTGAACGATTAATCATGAAAGATTACATTCCCTTTCCCATGACCACTATTTCTCTACACACGCCCTTTCACATGACCACTATTTCTCTACACACAGAGCGGACTGGCCTGTGTGTCTATGGCTCGCCGTCTGGACAAATGTATCATCATACTTTTAACACCGTAAAATCTACTTTTAACGCCGCAATAAATACTTTTAACGCCGTCAAAAAAGATTTTATACGCCGTCAAAAACGATTTCATACGCCGTTAAAAATTACCTTTAACGCCGTTAAAAACGATTTCATACGCCGTTAAAAATAACTTTTAACGCTGTCAAAAATTCATAACTTTTAACGCTGTCAAAAATTCATTTTGAACGGCGTCAAAAACGATTTTATACGTCCTTACTTTTGACCACGCGTAAAAAAGCATTTTGAACGGCGTCAAAAATGATTTTGAACGCGTCAAGAATTGTAATGTGACAGGTAAATTACGTCTTAGCTGGCAGCCAATTAAAACCAGCGTTACAATCTGTGTATCCATTGAACAAACGAACGTGTATGTTCGACTTACCGACTGATTGATAAAAATCCAAAACCCTATTTTTCTCAGTGTTAATGTTTATTACATTTATCATTTATATTGGCATTTTTATTTGCCAGACGCATTTGGTTGTATGGAAGACTTCAACTGTCCCGGGAATTTGATATACATCGAGTTTTCATTGGGATAATGAAAAATGGTTGATAGTGAAATAACTGAAAATGGGGCAACGGTAAACAACGTACTTGGTGTCATCCAGCTGACTGTTTGAAAAGATTGTCTTTGCACATTTTTTTAAATCTACCGTTAAACTACCGCATTTTTTCTAAATCTTCTTCTTTTTTCAAATTTCTACCGCAAAATTACACTTTTTTCAAAAATCTACCCCAAACCTCTGAAACTACAGTATTTTTTAAAAATACCGCAAAACTACCGTATTTTTTAAATCTACCGCAAGGCCGTGTTTTAAAAAATCTACCGCAAAAACTACATTTTTTTCTAAAATCTACCGCAAAAACTACCGCAATTTTGTTGAAAAATACCGCAAAAACTACCTTATTTTGAAAAACTCTACCGCAAAAATACAGCAAGTTTAAAAAAATCTACCGCAAAATTTTGGTCTTAGGTTGGCAGGTATGCATAGTGTGTCCATGTCGCACGCCTCTTTGGATCATCTGAGGTTCTGGCGGAGAGTAGTAACCAGCTCATTGGTGACTCTTTGTTAACTGTTGCAATGTCTAAAACTTGCAAATTTTGGCACGTTGTGCAAAAGGAATGATTATTCAGTGGTCCGTGGTCTTATATGAATAATTGACATACCATTGAAAAGAGGATCGAGACATGTGGCCTGGTAAACTAAATCAAATTGATGTAATCATCACTGGTTTTGTGATTTTACAATGTTTTTGTTTGTTGCGTTTTTATGGGACGCACTGTATTGTTATTGTCTCTTACATAAAAGGTGCACGGTGTTCGGCGTCTGTCGCTCAGCGTAACAAATTGTTAGTGAAATGTTTCCTGTTTGATATTGTTCTACTAAAACTGCCCCTTTCTGTCAAAACTGAAGAGTTGTTTTATAAATAAATCGTTCAAAAGATGACTTAATTTCAGTCCAAATTAGTATATTATAGGCCATAAAAAGTAGATTCGTTGTTTTGTATCCCCTTGCTTGCACGATTTTGAGTAAATCAAACACACGAAATGGCGGATAATTTGATGTGTGTCAAAATTGACAGTGTTGTAATTACTTTGGCATACATTGTAAATTTTCTTACATTTTACCCTTGAATAATAGCTATGTTTAAATATATTGTATAAAATGTATAGATATGTGTTTGTAATCGATCACTGCAAATTGGTACAGTATATCATCCATTTTATGCCCATAAAATGCATACATGTCTCAGCAAACAAGTTTGTGTTTTTTCTTGAGTTTGTGCTTGTTTTCCTTGCAATTGTACCCTTGCATGATTTTGATTTTGCCAGGACGCCAAGGAGGATTGGCTCCCAGAGTGCAACATCGATATTCTGTCCCATATATGGGCATGTCGTGATACAAAATTCGAATTCAAACAGCCACCATTTTGTTCACTTCAGTATTTGAATCGTGAATTTTGGTCTTGTTTCCGAACGAAAAATTCCAAAACTCAGGAGAAATGATTGAGATATTGGTTAGAATCTTTTGGACTGTTTATTTTGAATTTATAGTTTGTTATTATTTCAGAAAATAACGACATTTCGACGATTTCATTGTTGGAAAGTATCGAGTTTCGATCCTGGGAGCCAATCCTCCTTGCCAGGACGCAAAACAAAGAATATCATGTACTTCTTATGGCCTTACTCAATTGCGTTAGGTTGAAGTATCATAATGATGGAAAATTGTGATGCCTTGATGTATGCCCGGCTGTACGTATGGTGTACGTATGCGTTTTGCGTTGCGACAATGTAACAGAGGGGGGGGTTATGAAATATTTTTGCCTCATCGCTTTTTCCTTCCTGGCTACGCCACTGCAGGGTATTACAAAATTCCCTTAAACTTGAATATGCATCAGTTTTAGTGGTTCACTTTTCAAATTACCCTTTTGTGTGTAATAGTTATACAAATTAAAATATGTCCAGTAAAAGAAAATATTATCTGCCCAACACAAGAAAAGATATTTCACTTTTTGTAGTTTTACAACATGGGGTCTATGGGGAATCTCCCCGACCTAGAACTCACATTTTCAAAGAAAATTAAATTTTCAAAGTTGATAAACCCTTTTCAAAACCATATTTTTAGATGTAATTTTATATGTAGATTCCAAATATGACACCAGTTTGACTGAATTGTGAATTTTCAATGACGTAAATCAAGATTATTTCTACTCCCATCTAGGATATTGAATGAGGAGGGGCATCACATATGTGACAAGTCTATAAATGGAGTAGATTCAGTTAAAGGGGAAATTACATTAGATTATAGGATGAATTGATGTATAGGTGTTCCTATGTAAATGACAGGCCTGTGATTTTGACCAATTTGATTCAGACGAATGGGATTTGGACCAATGGTGTTTCCTCGCTTGACCTATTTTGATTTACCATTTTCTATGTTTCAGTGGCTAGGAAGTTATGCAGGGAAACTTGCTAATCTCGGGATATTCCAGGAACACACGCCCAACCATGTTTTAGTGAATGAGTACCAACCAGGACAAGGGATTATGGTAAGTGATTAGCTTTTTAGAATCATCCTAGTCTGACATAATATTCTGTTCTCCTGGTATTTTTTGTGTGCTATTAATTTTGTCAAATTCAATATGATGGTAAAAGTGCAAAAAACAATCCTTTTGAAATTTGCCAATAAGATCCCCTGGATTTATTCAATTTGTAATTTCCTGTTATATACAATGTTGTGGTTTGATTCTGTTGACCATATCCAAGTTAAAAACTTGAAGAATGCCCTTTTGACTTTTGAAGCCTGTTTTGGACTAGTTGCTAAACTTATTCAGAGGGGTGTACATTACACAGTGGTGTAACCAGGATTTTGATAGCAGGTACTCGAGGCTGAAGGCTGAGCAAATGGGCCTGGAAAATTTCAGACAATAAATGATGCGTTCTGAGCGATATATAAGGTGGGGCTTTAGAACGTTCCCTTAAGCTCTTTTGTCTCCAAGAGCTTCAATGGAAGTATACATAGTACGTTTCCTCTTATTTAAGCCTTTTTGGGGTGAACTTTTTTCAATCTCACCCACAATTGCCCCACTGCATGGCACCTTTAACCTTCACTTTTCTCTTTCAGCCTCATGAAGATGGTCCCCTATTCTACCCAACTGTTGCGACTATATCACTAGGCTCACATACAATACTAGACTTCTACCATCATAGGCAAGATGTAGAGGACAACTCAACTGTGAGTGATCTGTTGAACTTCTAAATTTTAATATTTACATTGCTGTTGCAGAAATGGCCATGATCAAAAGTGAAATTCACAAAGTGACATTTGTTCATCAGTTTCAATAATTGTAATTCAAAGAAACAAGGACTTAACAATTATTTCTTTATTCACATTTTCTAAATAAGTTGCATTATGTAATTATTAAAGGTTGGGTATTTTATACATCTATTTGCAGGCCCCACAACTTGGGAATCAATCCAAGGACAGGCTATTTACATCTCTTTTGCTTGAACCTAGAAGTTTGGTGATTATTCAGGATGATATGTACAAGAAACATTTACATGGTATAAACGAAACAACAGTTGATGATATCACAGACAATATTGCTAATTTAGAACAATGTAAAGCAGAAGTTGGAAACAGATTGGAAAGAACAACAAGAGTTTCATTGACAATTCGATATTTTGCTAAAGTGCTCAAAGCAAAATTAATGATTGGTAACATGAAGCGTAGGTAATTTTTTATTTTTTGTTTCGATTATGCTGTATGACGATTATTGTTAAAATAAATTATAGCTAACTACGTAAAGTTAAAAATTATGTATTTTTGGATACTGACAATCAATTTCAGTGTTAGGCCATCCAAGGCAAGTTTGATTTTGATTTTTTTCAATGAATAATTACTTCCACGCTTTCCATGTGACTCCATCAAGTAATTGTCCAAGCAGATGACCTCCCAATTAATTCTGCCCATTTAAATTTGATTGATGACACTATTCGCGAATGCAACTTTTGGATGTCTGCTACCGGATTAATCTACTATTTTATTATCCCATCGAACGAAGTTCGGAGGGATATAGGGAACGCCTCCGTCCGTCCGTCCGTCCGTACGTACGTACGTCCGTCCACTCATACAATACCCCATGTTTCCTCCGTCCACTTTTCGAAAAAATTTTTTTTTGCTATTTTTCACTTATTTTGTTTTAAAATGTAGTTTAAACAATCAGATACTATAAAGTACTCCCCCACGCACCTGTAAACGGCAAATTGAGCCGCAACAATGATTTAAGCACAAGTTATAACCTTTCAAATATTTTCGACTGGGGTATCTGGCGCGTGGCTGAAAAACATTGTTCTAGACATTGCTGGAAATAGCCGTATACACCAATGGAAAGCGTTTTTGAATCCCTTTTTTATGGTTCTGATCACACACAAAAACAATGACGTATAGTGTACGGTTTTCTCCGTCCACCGAAAAAATGGACCCTATCTTGTTACAACATTCGGACCTATCTCTCATGAGATCAGAAACTTGAGGGAAATTATTTTTCATATCTTTCTCGCTAGATTCTTCCGCTCAAACTTCGTCAGATTTGAGAATAGGGTCTAGGGAACATCCCATTGACAGGAATTTCTCCACTTTTAAATACATTTTGAGAAAACTGAAGTGATCGAGATTGATTTTTACGCTCCTTTTACCCCATGTTACGAGCGTTTTTCGTAAAACGATAATTGTTTAGATTAAAGTCTCAAAACATGATATTATACTTTCAGAAACATATTTAAAAAATCACTGCTAACAAAGTACACACATAGAATCTCCTTTGCAAGAGCACAGTACGATAATGAATACGCGACATGAAAAAGTGCTTGCCCGTCTACGCACCTTTTACCCCAAGTTACGAGCGTTTGCGTCGCTTCATATTTTTTTTTGATTTTTTGTTGTCTAATCACATTATCGACAAAACTACCATACTATCTATTTGAAAATATGCTTGTACAATAAAGACACGCATTTTAGAAAAATAATACATACAATGCTTAATTGATTAAAGCGCTGTGCCCATTTTAAGATTACGAATGGTGACCGTCCATTGATTTTGAACACCATACTGTATTATTTAATTTAACTTATGTGAAGTAAGTTATTAATACTTGTACTTTGGTATCGCAATTACTTGACGGGTTTTAAACATATCGTATCACATGACATATCCAAAAACCTATTGTTACCTTAATACCTTATCATTTTTGGCAACAAAACAACTTACTTTTTAAGGAAATCACATTGTCACATTGTATTTCAAAGTTTATGTTTCATTTGCTTCAATTTTGCATTTATTATTATCAACTATTAAACGTCATTACAGCAAGCATATTGTTCAATAATCCATTGGTATGGTAACTGGGTTAGTTCATAATAAAAAACTGATTCGGCATTTGAATAATTAAGGCTTTATTATGTGAATAGATAAAATGGAAACCATCTTAGGATAGACTAATACCCTTAACTTGAAGGTGAACATGGCGTTGCAACAACAGATTTATAACACGCAATGGTACAGCAACAGATCCAAACAAATGATCAAGTAAAAAAACCACTAAAGCTACTAAGTGTTTTACATGTTTTAGCGTTTAATTTATTTTCTCCGTTTTTACAACTCGAGTTGTTTTTACAACTTTGTATTTAGATAGGCATCATTACAGCAAGATATAATCAAATGTAGTAATATACATGTTATAATACACTGGGATAATTTTTAAATGCAGTTTTGAAGAAATTAATAAATCCATTTTAAGAAGTACTGTCTGAACTTAGCGTTGCAGCAATCAAAGCTCATCTTGAGGAACTACATCCCGGGAGTTGTTTTCGTTCAGTGTCCTGGCGTAATCGAGCAGGGAGAGGAAAAGTCAAAAATCTGGTAAGTTCAATTCAAGTCGAATTAATTGTCATCTTGGGGTTATTGTGATATTGTAAAGCAAACGTTGTGCTCTTACTTATTGTAGATTATTGTTTACGAATTGATTATCAATCTAAGAATGCAAATCTGTATGTAAAACAGCCTATACAAATGTTAGGATAAATATAAATGTTTCTATTTTTACATTAGATCTAACTGTTTCAATTTGGTCATTTCATTGCTTATTTTTTAAATTCAAAGTACTCACAAACATTTATGATTTTACTTTATAGGTCTAATGTTAGGTTTGTCTGGAGGATCGGGCCCCGGGGATCGGGCAGAGCCCTCAAATACTTTCAAAGTCCCTTGTCATAAATTGTAGCGGGCTTAAAATACAAAAGGGCTCTGCCCAATCCTCCAGATAAACATCTTTGCTGTTACCGGGACCATGGGGTTTTGAATGCCCATGCTGGGATTGTTAATACCCCCGTGTTACCCCCATTGGGGTTGATTTCAGTTCGGACGATAAATAAATGATGAGTTGATTTTCTATCACCATTTCCAAAGCATTGTGGTTTGAGAGAGTTATATTGTCTCAATGTACATACCCCTAAAATTTGTATATTTTACATTTTGTTAACTCTCCTTCTAGGGGGTTTACTCTATTTGGGTAGGTATGCAGCACGACCAAATTCTGGCCAATCTGAGAAGAAAAAACATGGAAAGATTGTGGGGGTCCTAGGCTGAACCATCAGATATCAATATGTTCCCATACCAATCTGTCAAATTTCAATATGTTACCATACCAACCAAAATAACATTCGAAATCCATATGTCCAAATATAAGACCAGTGCCATACCAAATGTCAAAATGTAAGGACCAATATCATACATTCATACCAAATTTCCAAATATCTGCCTTCCTTGTCTTCCTTTTAAATATAAATAGATCTAGGTGGCCTTTTGAAAATGATCTAATTTTTTTTGGGGGGAAATCCTCCCTTCGGTAAATCCACTATTCATGGATTTATCACTGAACTCTTACAACAATATTTCCATTTTCACCCATTGTTAATTACATTTGAAAATATAGTCTTTTGAATATGCAGAGGTCATATACAGGGTGACTCAAAAAAAATGCAACCCTCCATTTCTTCAATATTTTTCTTAAATGGAGGTTAATTGCTCAGAAATTTGACACACAAGGACTTCATTCAATGTGGGATCGTTTGGCAAAGTTTTAATAATTATAGTCTTATATTGATAGAGTTATGGCCGTTTCAAAATATGCTCCAAATGTCGTCCATTTCCAATGTTAGGTTTTCAGATGAATCACATTCCCTTCTTTCTGAACATGTAAACTCAAGAAACAATGTGTTCTGGGATCACAAATTCCAGATGAAGTGCTTCAAAGGCCCCTACACTCTATTAAATGCACAACTTGGGCTGCCAATTTCCGAACATGAGATCATCAGCCCCTTTTTGTTTGAGGTTGATAATGGCAACGCTGTTACTGTTAACACACAGCGCAATATTGGCGTTCCCAGGAAGTTCTAGGCAGTTCTAGAGTGACATAGAGGCTTCAATAGACAAGAACAGTGGTTCTAGAAGGATGGGGCTACTCCTCACACTTCTAATGATAGCATAGCCTGGTTCACTAGTCATTTCTATGAGAAGATTATCTCTCCTAGGATGGAGAACCCATGGTCATCCCAAAGTATTGATCTCAATGCCCCTGACTTCTATATATGGGGTTATTTAAAGGATAATGTGTATGAAAATAACCCTTCCGCAATTGCAGAACTCCAATAAGCAATGGCTGCAAAAATGTGAGCCATACCCATGGGGAAGAATGCATCCGTGTTATGAACAGTTTTCCTTGAACATTGCAAGTTTGTTTTCAGCGAAATTGACGACATCTGGAGCATATTTTGAAACAACCATAACTCTATCAATATAAGACTATAATTATTAAAACTTTGCCAAAGGATCCCACATTGAATGAAGTCCTTGTGTGCCAAATCTCACGGCAATTAATCTCCATTTATGAAAAATATTGAAGAAATGGAGGGTTGCATTTTTTTGGGTCACCCTGTATAAGTGTTTACATCAAAAATGATGTCATATTTATTTATCATCTGCTGAGGCATCAGTTTCATGAATGAATCTCTAAATAAATCAAAATAAATTGATGCCATTTTCATGGTAATGATGGTGACAAAAGTCTTTCACTTTAGGTAAAAATTCAAGTACATTATAGCATAAAAATGGGATGTCCGAATGCACACATCTTGGGGGGCCCAGGGGTTTGCTCCACTGGGAATTTTTTTCGAAGATTTCATCTGATCAATCTGAGCGTTTTTATCAACTTTAAATAATAATGTTCAAATAAAACTTAATGGTGAATTATACAAATAAAGAATCATTAATAAATGTGGATAAATAATGCACTTTTAACACATTTTTATTTTTTCTATTGGGTACGCAAGAGGGCAATCTGAGTTACAGGCGCTACGCCGATGTACGGCCTCTTGCAAATTCTCTTATTTTTAATGGGAAATCCTCACTTCAGCAATCCATGAGTAATTATTTTTGTCCCAAACTGTAAACCTTGTAGTCATAGACCTGGAGCCACTTGCTAGAAAAGTTATGTGATAAATTCAATTGATTTGTGTCATTTTTGTTACCATCATAGGGTGATGACAATATGATAGTAAATAACCTCTCCAGTAGTCTAAATAAAATCATATTTAATATAGTGATCCCTACAGTATTTTGTGACATTTTACATTATGAAATACTGTACCAAAAAGTTTGCACAATTTATTTTTCAATTTAAAAGCTGCTTCATCCTGGACAACAACCCCAGGCAATGACTAAATCAATCAATCTTTTGTAAAAAAATTGTTGTAAGCCCGTTCTAGTCCAATACGTAGTTATTCAAAAAGACGCAGACATCCAAAAAATCTGTTTCTGTTACAAATTTTTACAAAATTTACACAAATTATATTTTTTGGGCTTCATGGAATATCACTTGTGAAAGATGCACCTAGGTTATCCTGTTCCCGGACTATAGTCCTGTACGGAGCCCATACATTTGCCTGTACGATTACAACTTGGGAGAATTATCTACGCCCCTTCCACTTAAGAAACCTACCTCAATGCATTCTAGAACTCAAAATGTAACTTCTAATATATTGGAACCGCCGATTGTCTGGGTTAGTTGGCAGAACGAGGTCTTTTTGTTTCTTATGGCTCTTTTGGTCGAAGTTCGATTAAGATGGCGGTTATAACGGAATTTCCCGAACTCTTCCGTAATAGCACGAACTTGGTTTTTCGTTACTTCACTTCCATGTAAAATGGATTTGTTTCCGGTAAGAAACATTGTTTAACCATTCGGTATACAGTTAAGAGCATAGGATGTCGACATGGCAGTAAATATTGAAAATATTGTCCGAAATTTTCGAAATTCCCTCTTACCCGAAACAAATCCATTTTACACGGAAGTGACGTAACGAAAAACCAAGTTCGTGCTATTACGGAAGAGTTCGGGAAATTCCGTTATAACCGCCATCTTAATCGAACTTCGACCAAAAGAGCCATAAGAAACAAAAAGACCTCTTCTGCCAACTAACCCAGACAATCGGCGGTTCCAATATATTAGAAGTTACATTTTGAGTTGTAGAATGCATTGAGGTAGGTTTCTTAAGTGGAAGGGGCGTAGATAATTCTCCCAAGTTGTAATCGTACAGGCAAATGTATTGGCTCCGTACAGGACTATAGTCCTGGAACGGGATAACACCTAGGTATTCACCTCAATAGAATTGAATATTTGTTTTATTATTCACTATCATATTCCTCACTCACATTAATGGAATAACAAACTATCGTTGTCTAATAAATCATGACAATGTACTCACGAAATATAAAATTAAAATGACACCAAACTAAGTCACATGACTGAGGAAAGCAAACTACATGTAGTTACTTGAAGGATTACATCCAGTAGAATATTAGTCAGACAGTTTAAATAGTTTAATATGATTTCAATTGTGTGTTTCAGCATTTAAGTCCTGGACTCAGTGCATTGTTGAGTGATAATCATTCCTCAAAGGTGTTGTTTTAAACTTTGCATGAGATCCGTAGAAATGAATGCTAAGTGGAATGGAAATGGAAACAATGCCAGATAGTTTAGTAGGAAGTAAGGGGTCCCATGCACCCTAGCTAAACAAACTTTTAATTATAATTTTTTAACACCCACAACTTTAAGAATGTTGATGTTAACATTGCCATCTCATGTCCCATAGTGCCAGTTATTGAGGAGTTACAAATGTATTGTTCCACCCCACAAGAACGCACCACTACTGAGGGCAATTTTTTATTTTTTCGATGTCATTGAATTTTTCAACATCACTGAGCTTTGTTAATTTAATGTAATTTCACTGTACATTGTTTTATACATTGGGTGCATTATTTGTTATTTATCCAAAAGTGCCCCCGCCCCTCACTCCTATTTCTTGTGCCCCATCTCATATTTTTCAATACCCAGTCTTCATTAAACATTTTGTATCAGGTTTTCCTTCATTTTTTATGTTTGGTTCAGATCCTGAAAAAACTGATAAATACATTTTTTTCTTGAGTGTATAATGCAAAAACTCATACACAATGATGATTATACAATATCATCCAATACTTGATCTAACAAACTTATATACTGCTATTGTATTACTTATTTACAGAATGTATATTAGCAAGTCCTACTTCATTATGTATTCACATAGTATCTTTCACCAGTAGGGGTTCCATTAGTAGCAGGCAACAGTTGATTTTCACCCATTGTTTTCACAAAATCGCCTGTTGTTTTTTACCCTTTGCATTCGTTTGACTTCACTTCTTAAAAGAGAGCTTTGTTTTCACTCTTTCAAACTAAAATAAACCTGTGAACTCACCGCGCCAATCAGTGTTCGTGGGCCAAATTTGACCGACGTTCTATATATGGTCATTCCTTCTGACGTCATCGT